TAAATATATCTTTCCTTGCAATATTCTTTTTCATTTTCTAAAAGTTCTTTGTTTTCACTTACTAATGATAAAAATGTAGCCTTTTCAGTTTCTTCTTTTGAAGTATTTGATAAACCATTGTTATAAGTATCATTTGCAATTGATATGGCATTATTAACTATTACATTATAGATTTCATTTACAAATTGTTCTCTGTCAATTGACAATAATTTATTACATAACATTTTATTGCTGCTTGATTTTTTCAAGCAACACAAAAAATAAAATGAATTACGGCCATACAATTTTGTATAGTTTATCAAGTAAATGGGTTGAACATACATTTATTATTATATTTAATAAAACAAAATCAAACCAATTTGTCAAGTATGTTTTTCTAAGCTAAAAATGCTCTTCGCAATGAGATGCTCTTAATAATTTCAAAATAAATTTGAATTTAATGCCAGTTTTAATGGATTGCGGGACATTTCTCTGACAAGACGTTTTCTAATACATTCTATCTGTTTATTATAATATTCCTGCCATGATTATATCATGTCATCATTATTATCCGTTAATATTAAGAAATGGCGTACCTGGTGATTTTAGCTGATTAGCTGGCTAATCTGTTAAGTCATTTATTAGCCGGGTAGTCAGTTTTAGTTGGTGAAATGAGTTGTGTACCAGATCTGTTTAACTCTGATGTGTTATCACATGCGACATCATATTTTTTGTTTTTTAGGAAATACCAAAAGGACCAACCATAAATGAAGATGACTATCGATTTCATCGGCTGCTAAAATTAGGTCTTGTTGATAAGATATTTTCATTAGCATCAGATGGAGCCTCGGTTATGATGAGAAATAAATCAGATGTAGCTACCAGATTATCTCAAGAAACAAGCATCTGGTTGTGACTCATTGTATTGCACATAGGCTTGCTCTTGCATGCAATTCTAAAAAATTCTACTTTTGCAATAAAGTAGAATTATACTTGAAAGTTTTCCAAAAATTCTCCAAAAAGTTGAAATTCTTGCTAGTACTAGGTGTCAAGAAGTTTTAAATCATCCAATAAACAATGATTATGAGTTTTATTATCAAATGACGGATATTTCTCACATTAACATCCCAACACTATAAATATTAGTTCGTTTATTAATTTTGCCTTCAAGCGGCTCGGTGCAACATATTAATATATATAATTCCGTAGATTTTTATCTGATGATTTTTCATCATCTGGGTCCACATAATCCCAAATCATGATTCACGTAACCTTTAAATATTGTAGTATCTTAAATTACCTTCTGAAAGATAATTAAGGAACACTGCATAATTCATTGCCTGAGAAATAAAATCAATTAATAATACGATACTATATAATTTATTTTCGTTTAAATAAAAGCTACAAACCATATAAAAAAACT